CTGCAAGGTGCTTTCCATCTCTATGATTATATTAAGCCCTTTTAACCTCAGTGAAAGGTTCTACAGGTAATAAGTGTCAGAGCTGGGATTTTAACCCTGATGTGTCCCATGTTTGTTCTTTTTTTTTTTTTTTTCCCCAAGACCGAGTCTTACTCTATCCCCTGGGCTGGAGTGCAGTGGCGCCAACTTGGCTTACTGCAGCCTCCGCCTCCCAGGTTCAAGTGATTCTCCTGCCTCAGTCTCCCAAGTAACTGGAATTACAGGCCCGTCACCACACCTGACTAATTTTTGTATTTTTTAGCAGAGATGAGGTTTCACTATGCTGGCCAGGCTGGTCTCAAACTCCTGACCTCAAGTGATCCACCTGCCTTGGTCTCCCAAAGTGCTGGGATTACAGGCATGAGCCACTGCACCCGGCCCCGTGTTCTTTCTAATACAATATACCCTAAACCAATGGTTCTCTAAAAGGTAGGAAGGAGTGGCGAGGTGGGCATAGGTTTTTGCCCTCTGAAGGATGTTTGGCAATGTCTAGACACATTTTTGGTTGTGCAGAGTGCTACTAGTATTTAGCGGATAGAGGCCAGGGATACTGCTAAACATTCTACAGTGCACAGGACAGCCCCCTACTTCAAAGAATTATCTGGCTCCAAATGGCAATAGTGCTGAGGTTGAATAACCCTGCCCGGCACTTACACATAATTCCCTTCCTTCATAGTAGTCCACAGCTGGAAATATCCAATCACCAGTATAAACAGTACTTACTCTCTCCCATACTGCTGGCTCCCTTCATCAAGGCAGGAACATGCTTGCCTGGTTCAACTGTACCCAGCACCCAGCATAGTGCTTAGAACATATCGGGCACTCAATCATAGTGACTGAGTGAATGAATGAATACATTAATGAATACATTGATGTCCAGTTCTTGCCTTTCTCCCCAGAGTCTCTCTTCCAGTCCCTTTGCCCACCCTCCCCTCTCCCACCGCTTTAACCATGCAGTGAGTTGGGCCTGGTGCCCAGAGTTGAGGCCTTGCCAGATGGCTTTGTTCTAGGCTACAAGCTGTCTGTGCCCTGGGCCTGACCTAGAGGCAGCCTCTGCTACGGGACCCTCTGGAGGGGGCGTACTTCTAACCCACTGAGTAATGACCCTGTCTGTCTCTTCTAGATCAACCCTGAGGAAACTGAAGCCAGAGAGTATGTATGAGACCTGGGTGAGTGCCCCCGGCCAGGGTCAGGCCCTCAGGGAAGCAGGAGTGCTAGAAGACTCAAGTCCTAGCAAAATCCCACCCTGCTGCTCCTCAGGCCCATTTGTAGAAAAAACAGTGCACTAGCAGCAGTTGAAGGATTTCTACGCTGAAGAATGTGTGAGGAAATGGGAGACAGACATAACTGAAGATGACAAGGGAGGAGCCTCAAGCCTGGGGATAAAGGGATTATCAGAGGAAGTGTGGGGCTTTGGAGCTGAAAGGAGTGTCACTTGGAAAAAGGTCACCATCACAAGAATATATCTGGCCAGGTGCAGTGGCTCACGCCTGTAATCCCAGCACCTTGGGAGACTGAGGGAGGCGGATCATCTGAGGTCAGGAGTTCGAGACTAGCCTGACCAGCATGGTGAAACCCCATCTCTACTAAAAATACAAAATTAGCCAGGTGTGGTGGCGCATGCCTGTAATCCCAGCTACTCGGGAGGCTGAGGCAGGAGAATCGCTTGAAC